AGGCTTCTTTTAAAGGCAAAAACCACAAACCTCAAGCAGTAAAAGTGGGAGGGGGAGTGGCGGTAGTGGGAGGAAGTTTCGGGTGATTTTCGGCTTGGTACACAGAGCATGAAAAGGTCAGCTTTTTCTCAGTAGTTAGAATTTTACAGCTTACTTCCTTGTACAGTTTCCCAGAATATTCTTCTTTTGGTCTGGGGGGGACTTGGTTTGATTCCATCAATATGGATTTTTCTAGTGTTTTACAGAACATATATGATTTTCTAATGAGAAATAAAAATTTGGGGGACAGTTGTTTGTAGATTGCATATATATATATAGTGTCCAGGGGTGGGTCTGACCAAAGTTTAAAGGTACTGAAGAAAGGTCACAGGACTATTTCATTTTTAGGGGAGGAGTTCTCATAAAAAATGACCACAAGGATCATCCATAAATGCAGGATGAATCTTAGCTCTGATGAAAAAGACAAGAACACTAAGAAACCTCAAGGCCTGGTTTCAAAATTGTTTCACTCTCAATGCATGCAAACTGAACATTTTGATATTCTAATACCTATCACATACTGTGTTTTATTAAGTAGGAAAAAATTGAAAGGAATTTCAATAAACTGTAATTGAAGCTTAATTTCAAAACAGAATGAGGAAACAATATTGTGTTAGTCACAAAGAGGGCAGTGAGCTCATCTCTTGGCCCTCAGTAAACCTAAGTCCTTTTACATGAATGGGTATAATTTCCCCATTAAATAAAGGAATGTGAGATTTATCCTTACTCAGTGACATTCAGATTAATTACATTGTTCAAAATTTAGGCAACTTCCCACAGGAAATTAGAATCTGAAATCCAAGAACCTGATACTTTTCTGAGAGGGAAAATCTTCCAATGAAAAAGGAAATTGAGATTTGCTTCACTGTGTGTTTCTTATTACTCCAAAGGAATAAAACCAAAAAGTAACTATAAGGCAAATTGCTATAAAAGATTTTTTTGTAATAATTAAATTCTTTGCAGGGTAAGATGTAATTCACTTAGCATATGCATTTGCACCTATTTAACTTTCTCAAATTTTTATTTGCAAATGGAGATTGAAAGTTAAAATTAATTAAATGGGTCAAAGTTTAGTCAAATGTGACTGACTCCCTGAATGATTTCAATGTTCTTTCAATTTTATTCAAATAAAATACATTTATTAACAATACCCCAGAAGTATTTATCATATTTAAAAATAAATTCATGCTATCAAAAGGTGAGGTTCAATTTAATCCTGTTTGCCTTCACGCCACTGTTGTGAGCCTTCATTCCAGGCCACGTAGACAAACAGGGCGAGGACGACGTGAACCGCCACAACTGCTACGATTGTGGCATAAAAATAGCTGTCTCTGTTGGACATTCCCAGGGCACCTTCGAATACATAAGATTTGTAAAATATAGCCCAATAAGAACGTGATCATTAAAGCTGTGAAGGAGGACATTAGAGTCTTCAGGGTTGATGCCAATGAGCTTTCATTCTTGAATTCCAGAGGCTGCAGCACGTTCAGCCCTGCTTCGTCGAGGCGCTCCATGACATCACTGTGCAAGCAGCAGGCAGAGGGCTGGCTGGGCTCAGGGGGCCCCCAGGCGCCTGACAGTTCTAGGCCGGTCGCGTCGGAAGTCTATTTATTTATATTGTTTTACATGCATTAGTGTTTTGCCTACATGCATGGAAGTACATGAAATGCCTGCAGAGGTCAGAGGAGGGCATCAGATCCCCTGAAACTGGAGTTATGGATGGCTGTTAGCCACCATGTGAGTGCTGGCTAACCCAGTCCTCTGCAAAAGCAGCCAGTGCTCTTAACTTCTGAACCATCTCTCCAGCCCCCAATATACTGTCGCTTAATATATTTTGTGGTCAAGGAAGAGAAACTATGAGATGATATTTTTCCTAAATCCCTGTCTTCATGACAGTGTTTAGTGATGCTGTATGACATACTCTAGTGTACAGACTAGTGTTAAACAATTTTGAATAATACTTTTGATTCTTGAAGGTTTCATACACGCATCTAACGTATATTAATCATATTCATCTACCAGGAAATCCCTCCAACTGCCCCTAAACCCCCTACATAGCCCTTTACAAATTCGTCCTCTTGGGATTGAATCTAAGTCAATTCATGATAAATTCTCTGAGCTCACTGGGTGTGGGGACATCCATCTGTATCTGAAATAGTTACTGACTGAAGAATCTGCCATTTGTTCTGCCGTCATCTTGCCTCAGCTTCTCAGATGCTCGGATTATAAGTGTGTACTACCATATCTGAAGCATTTGAGGAATCTACAGGTACCAAGTTAGGGTGCCAATGGTATAACAATAGTACATAACATGCTTTCATTTTTGAATATTTGATGTTACATTTTTTAGTTTTTTATATTTCTAAAGTGGTCAATTGCCTTTCAAACAGAAGTTCTTATCAGGAATAATTTTATACCTTAGTAGATACTTACTGATAGAGTTATTTTTGATTATCATAATTTGAGAGAGGTCTGGAATTTTACAGACAAAACGTCAACAGCACCAAGTAAGAAACGTTTATGTCAGAAGGACCCAAACTAGTTATTTAAAAGAAGTGTAATTCTTTTGTTCAATTTTGTTGTTGTTGTTGTTGAGACACTATCTCACTTAAACTAGGCTGATCTTGACCTTGCTGTGTAGCTGAGGGTCACTCTGAACTCTTGATTTAAAGGAATGTAGTTCTTGGGCTGGAGAGATGGCTCAGAGGTTAAGAGCACTTGCTGCTCTTGCAGAGGACCTGGGCTCAGTTTCCAGCACCCACATGGCAGTTCTCAACCATCTGCAACTCCAGCTCCAGGTCATCTGATGCCTTTTTCTGGCCTCTGGGTACCAGACACACAAGTGGTGCACATATATACATGCAGGCAAAACACTCATATGCATAAATTAAAATAAATCTTTTAAAAAGGAATATAATTCTTAACCATGATTAAAAGATTTATACTATTGGTAAAATTCCAACTCAGTGATATTGTCTGTAGAATGCTCTGATCACCAATTTTATTAGATTTAAAATGATATACCAGTATTTGTGATTAAAAGATTCATACTATTGGTCAAATACAGACTCAGTGATATTGTCTGTAGAATGCTCTGATCACCAGTTTTATTAGATTTAAAATGATATACAAGTATTTGCTCCCATACAACCCCAAATGAAATGTTACATGAAACAGTTTAGAGATACACCATTTACAACTTTAAGACTACTTTCTGAATCTTAGCATTAGAAGCAAAATTATATCTCACCACCATAATACCAAAAACCTTGTGTGGCAATGTGTATTTATATATATGAAGAAGCAACTTTGTTTTGAAAGGTGTTAGATAATTGGCAGCCAGCTTCTTGGAAATCATTTAAAATTGTTGCCTTTGGGGTTTCCTCATTTAAAAACAATTCAATAGCACCTAGTGAAAATTCCATAGATCTACTAATTCAATAAATATAGGCAATCATAAAGAAACTTTAGAAGGAAAAGGGCATATAAAGTTGGTACCTGGGGATGCAAATGACAGTTTGTCAAGCTGCTGTATCTATTGGATGCAGTTTTCTTAATCATAATGCACATGGGTTGGCCTATACAATCTCTTCTACACTTTAAAATTTTACAAGCAGAAACTGTGGATCAAGTTTTTGTGTGAATAGATCACACAAAGTTCTTGTAGATTGCTTCAGGATTACTCTCATGTCTTCCAAGTAGCACATGACAGAAATTCATAAAGTAATTTCATCGTTCAAATGGTTTGGCTTATTTGGACTAAGGAAGTACATGACTCCTCAGCCTGCAAACCTGGGCATTTTATGGGCACTGCCAAGCAGAGTAATATTCCCACGAATCTTTATTTAATTATGTTATGGACTCCTGAAGCCTTCATGAGGTGCCTCATTTATTGAGTATGCTTTTAAAACCACTCTGGGCAGCTTTTATGGTAAGTACTCAAACTACATTTATAAACTCATATATATTTGTGGTTCCATGATTGCAATAGTCACAGCATGGGTCTTAGGGGGAACTTGATGGTAGAAATGAAAGGAAACAAAAATTTCTCTTTTTTTTGTGGTGAAATAACGTTTCTTAATGTTAAAAAAAATTCTCAGTTGCTCTCAAGCATTTGACCTTAAAACAATGAACAAAAATCTCCTCCTGGTGGCCAAAATATGTAAGTGCACCTCTAAAATAAATTCATGTCCTGGAACTGTTCATGAAATTACCATCACCTTTTATTAAATTTTGTAAAGCAATTGTATTTTTGATGAAATAATTACTTTATATAAACCATTAGTTAGTATTTCTTTACACATATATGTGAAATGGGAATGGATATGTGAATGTGTATATACATAGATGTGTATGGTTTAAAAATCATGGTAGAGAGATTTCACAGCAAAAGTTTAGGCTACCTTTGCTTTAATTTACCAACAAACTTTGATTACTACATAAAATTTTGCTTTATAAAATTCTTTCAAATGCACTTAGAAGTAGCAAATTTGTTTCTTGTGAGGGAAAAAATTACAAATCATGGAAGGGAATGACAAAAGATACTTTTGAACTCTGGAAAAATGACAGGGAATTATATGATTTTTCTGAACTCTTTGAGAAATGAAAAAAATTTCTCACTTGAGGGGTTCCTCTGACAAACACACTCTAGTAATCTCCCAGGTTATCTTCAAAACTGTGCATTGCATCTTATATACACTCCAATTTACTTGACTTAAAGAGCTGAATTCTCTGTTTTTCTGAAGAATAACTAACTCATAACATCACAAATAAGAATCCCTTACCAATTGTCTATGGATTATTATCATAAAGTGAGATAAATAAATCTGAAAATAAATCATGTGTTTTATGTTGTTGGTTGCAGTCACTTAATCTCATTCCTTATACCAATGCCCCCTGATATCTGAATTCACATATAGATATGACTTTAATACAACTGTTTGTTTAATGTCTACAGTGAGTTAGAGGCCTGTTTTTGAAGCAATCCAGCGTCGGTAATAAGTCACCTGTGTGTAAACTCCAGGTTTGTTCTTTTGACCACAGTTATCTCCCCAGCTCACGATTCCAATGAGATACCAGGTATCTTTGTTATCTTTTATAACTAATGGCCCCCCAGAATCACCCTGAAAATAAAAAGAGAAAAACAATTAGCTAAACACAGTTTTTATCATTTAAAATAGTTTGATGATGGCACATATTTTAAATCCCAGCACTCAACAAGCAGAGGCAGAGGCAGAGGTAGATGGATCTCTGTGAGTTCGAGGCCAGCCTGATCTACATAGCAAATTCCAAGCCAGCCAGAGTTACATAGTGAGACCCTGTTTCAAAGATACTTTTGTGAGCACTTTTTTTACTCTTTTCTTATCTTTTATCAGTATAGATTACTGATATTAAATACGTAAATGAAACATGGGCTTGAAAGTTGTATATAGCATTAAAGTAAATTTCCACATTTTATATTAAATTTTGATTTAGAGTAAACAACACATGATTAAAAAAGAAATAGAAAAGGAGAGGTTTAGAAAGCAATCATATGGCTTACATTTCTTCATTTTGTCCATTTCCCATAGATAGTTGCTTCATGTTTGTTTGTTTCTTACAGTAACTACTTATTAAATAATATTCTCACATTGTTATTTTTCAATTCAGACTTGAATATTGATTTTCTGTTGTATCAGTGGAGATTTAGTTCTTTTATGACTCCTCACAACTTTCCCTTACCATATCTTTGTTATAGAGCCCCACTTTTGGTTAAATTAACAGCCAATGTTCGCTTTAATATCACTTTGTAAATGTTACTTATCAATGACTCCAGAAACACCTTTGGATTTTGTTACCTTTGGTTGGCAGACTTTGATTTCCTAAAATTATGGCAGTCCCTCCCTTCTGCCTGTGGCTCTCACAGGTACCCCATTTTCTTTCTTCTCTCTAGTTTTGGATTCCTGGTGCCAATTGATCTCCAACTGGCCATCTCCAAATCTCTTTGCTAAGACAAGAGTGATTTTCATAATGTTCAGATTTGATTGACCCACCCCTTTAATACAGCAAACAGAAAAAATATTCACTTTAAGCCAGTGTTTTGAAAGCTTTATGTATATTAATTAATTCAATAGCAACTAACAATATAAAACTCTCAACAAAACTTTTCTTAAAGACTTTTTGTTTCTTTGAAATGGAAAAAAGTTTAAAAGGCAAAATAATTAAGATGTCAGACAAAATTTTGTCCAATCTGGCTTCCCACTAACCCTCCCACCTCATCCTGATTCATTAGCCATACATTAGTGATCCTCAGTTTCTAGAGTTCTCCTTAATCTCACTGCATTTAAAAATTTCCTGGTACATACGTAAGGTCTTGAAGCAATGGAGCAAGAACTGACCAAGAAGCCTTCTACCTAAAGTTTAGCTATCATAATGCTAGATAATAATATGCAAACTGCCAAGGAAGAAAAACAATTAATGGTTTAACTCAGCCCTAAGCCATAATAACCATTACAACTGTCATAGCAAATTACCTCTATTGGTGCAGTAGTAGCACTGTTATCTGGGGGAAAATCAACAGCTATTTAATTGGACTTAAAGCCCTCTTAATGGGAGTGAACTCATGGATGGCATTGTAAACTCAGCCAAATACACATGGCAGGAGATGACGAAGGTCCTAGAGAAAATCCTATCTCTTTCATACCTCTAGAAAAATGAAATTTCTTACCATATGCTAAATATGAACCCTTATATTTACAGACAAACATACTGTACACCACTCATCAAAGAAGATTTTTGCAACAGATGGAGGCTGTTGCAGAATTGCACAACTGGTCAGACACAGAGAATATATGCCTGAGAGATGCCCAGTACTAGGTGAGACATCTACAGTTGAACCTCTATACCTGAGGCTCATGGAACAAAGTGGAACAAGGGGTAGAGAGAAAACTAATGCATCCTTCAACTCTTACCAGTAAAGCTTCCTTATACAACAGAGTGTGATGCACACAGAGGGCCACAACTGGCCAAGTTTTGAAGATTAAGAGACCGTAGAGTATAGGATGGGATTTCTATATTGAACCTCACCCACACACGGCTTAGGAACCATTGTGGAAGACTGGGCAAAAAGATTGTAAGAGCCAGGGATGGTTCACAAACACAGGGAAGCAGAGGCTTTCAGGTCACTGTAAGCCTGCACATGTGAACTTGTGGAAATGGTTGCATGGAGCACAGAATCCATGGCAACTTAATTAAACTAAGGCCCAGAGATGCCTTACATATGATCTCTAGATGAATTGATTGGATAGAACTTAACATATATGGAAGAATACATGAGGCCTGTTGGGGCATTGGAGGGCATGGATGGGGGTGGGGATCTAAATTTGATTAAGAACTGTTGTATGAAATTATAAAATATCAATAAAAAAACATTTCCTGGTCAACTTCTGCTCCCCTTTTAGGTACTAATTCAATTCTGGCTAGTCTTCAGTTTCATTTCTGTTAATATTGTTCATGCTTCTTATATACACTTTTATTTTATGTTTTATTTTATTTTATTTTATTTATTTTATTTGAAGCAGGGTCTCCCTGTAGCTTCAGCTGGTCTGGAACTCACCAAGTAGACCAGGCACCTCAATTTCATAGAGATGCACCTATCTCTGCCTCTAAATGCTGGGATTAAATCCTGTGCCACCATGTCTGGCTTCACAAATACTTTAAAAAGCATGACACTTTTCAGTTTTAATTGCCTTTCTTTTATTATAATATGTTGTTTGATCAAGGCGTAATTGTGTACAGGTCAGTTCCCTGAAAGCAGGGTCTGTGCAAGTTTTTGCTCATAACTATTTCCAGCAGCTAGCTCAGTGCACACATGTGGTTAGGCTCTTAAAGTTTTTTTAATAAATAAATGAAGAGACCTAGAATGAACAAAATAACAACTAGGGAAAATTCTAGATGATTTTCCTGTATGCTATGTTTCTGACTAACTGAATTTAAGTTAGGAGTCCTCCACAAAGAGTTGTCAGAACCCACACACTATATTCTGACATGATTTTGAACACTATCTTTAGAGCTCTCCTATCAGTGCCTGAGTGGTGGTTATAAGTGGGAATCATTATTGGACAAACTGTTGACTGAATCACAAACAGAAGCAAAATTGCAAATCTTCTCTAAGCTGTGAAAACTTTTCTAACTTTCCTATCTGCAGCTCTGATACCATTGTCATTTGTGCTTGGATCTTACCTAACTTGAATAAATTAATTCTCTCTCCCCCTCTCTCTCCCTCTTCTCCCTCTCCTGTCCTCTCCTCTCTTCACATATCTCAATATCTCAGGCTGGTCTTGAACTCACCATGTAATCAAGAATGACCTTGAACTTTTGATGCTCTTGCTCCTCTCTCCTGAGTGTTAGAATTACAAGTGTGTTCCACCACGCCCAGTTTATGAGGCGCCAG